ACCACACCCAGCAAGAAGTATTTCCTTATGTTGTAATGTGTAAGATGCAACCAGTGATTTAGTGAAAGCCAGCCTGAACTGGGTGGGAGGAAGGTAGCTGGAGATAGCCTCTCAGATGCCCTTCATCCCAGTGTCCTCTGCTGTGTCCTCACAGGGCAGCTGAGTCATCTAGGAAGATTATTCTCTGAAGTGTTGCTTTACATCCCTTGTCTCTCCTCAGGAGTTTCTATGATCCCCCTACTCACCTGAGCTTCCCTCTTGCAGCCTCTTTCATCATTTAGTTCTCTCTCTGGGATGGCGTAATCACCACTCACCCAGCCATGCCCTGAACAAATAGAAAACCACCAGTAAAGGAGAGGCTGGGGGCTAGTGCTGTCTCTTCCTGGCTTTTTCTAGGTAGCCAACCCTCTTACATCTCTCAGACTTTATATATACATTTCCCTTTTAAGGATAGTTCCCTTTGTGCCAAAATAGAGAAGTAGAAATGCCTTACTAAAGCTAATCTAGTTTGAAGTCTGAGGTAACTTACTTTATATATCTTCACTAAAGCCATAAATTAGAGCTTTGGGGCACCACTGCAGACTTTTTTTTAAATAGGTGGCCATAGACTTAATGCTTTAAAGGAAGTTTCACTTTCGATGAGATGAAACACCATCTTTTAAAGGGCCTCCCTTTGTTCTCTTGTTCCCTAAGGCAGTCTCTGATGTGGTTGTGCTGGACTAGAGCAGGGTTATTTTAAAAAGAGCCTCTTAAAAGAAAGCCAGCTTGTAAAAATAAACCCAGAAAGGCCACTTTTTGTGTGTTCTGGGAATTGAATCCAGGGCCTTGCATATTCTAGGCAAATGTACCACTGAGCTATATCCCCTGTCTCCTCCACATTTTTTTTTGTGTGTTTGTATATGACTGAAGATTCTGTGAAAATCTAAAACCTAGAGTTATATCTAAGAACTTAAAAATATTCACATATGTATACTTTCATTCAACATTTATTGAAGCCTTATTATTCTCTGTGGCCTGTGGCAAGTGCTGAAGATGCTATGAAAAATGAAGACTATTCTTCCTCTGAAAGTGCTCACAATCCAAGAGAGAAGATATACAAATGAACAGTGTGCTGCTACAGCAAACTGTGTTAGGGGCATGGGGAAAGGAATAGAAAGTACAGAAAAGGGACCACACCAATCTTGGGAAATTGCTGTAAGATGATAGCTAGGAAAGACATCATTTGACTTGTGTCTTGAAAGAGGAATGGGAATTTTTCAGGTACATGAGTAAAGAATTGTCATCTTGGCAGAGGAAAGTGTGGGTGAAAAGGCAGGGAGAAGTGATAGAATGTACTAAACTTGGAAAACTATAAGGTTTTTCTTTGGCTTAAGAATAGCATTGTGTTGAAAAGTGTGGGAAATGAAGCTGAGTAAGTGTACAGGTTCATGGAAAGTGGCCTATGGCTTGGATTCTCCCAAGAAAGCATTCCTTTTTCTTTATCTGTTTATTCATCTAAATTTTCTGGGTACATATGTGGGTGGGTATGAATGTACTACTGTGTGTGTGTGTATATGTGTGTGTGTCTGTGTGTCTGTGTGTCTGTGTATAGAGGTCAGAGGACAATTTTTCGGATTCTGGCTCTCTTCTTTCACTACATGGATTCTGAGGCTCAAACTCAAGCTGTCAGCTTTGGCACATCTTTTTAGCCCTCTCATCCCCCCGCCCCCCTTTTTGAGGCAAGGTCTCATGTGTCCCAAGCTGGCCTGGAACTTGCTGTGTATCTGAGTATGGCCTTGACTGTCTGATTCTCCTGCCTCTATTTCCTGTATTGAGATTATAGCTATGTGCTTGATTTATGTGGGTGCTGGGAACAGAACCCAGGACTTTGTTCATGCTAGGTAAGCACTCTACCAATTAAATTACATCCCCAGCCCAAATCTTAATTTTTAGAGGCCAGACACAAAGTAAGTCAATATCTAAAACAAATGATTAATATGTAAGAATTTCCAAGTCTGGGACTTGGCATCTATATTTAGGACTTTGGATTTGATCCTATAACCTATTGTAGGGATCCACTTGATATTTACATTCACAGTAAATTAGATCTATTCCTAAGTCACATATCAAGTGCTTAGTAGCTAGCTATAAATGTTGGGAATCATTGGATAACTTTGAGCAATAAATAGCATGATTGCATTTGTGTTAATTAGAAATCACCCTGGTGGCAACATAAAAATAGAATAATGTGCAATAGGGGAAAGAGATTTGTACAATTGGTTTTCCCCTTTTGTTTTTGTTTTGTTTTGTTTGGACACTTGGTCTCATGTAGTTTAGCATGGATTCAGGCTCAATCTGTGGCCAATGATGACTTTGAGCTTTTTCCCTTTTTAAAATCAAAGTCAATTTAAAAGATTTTTTTGTTGCAATTATCTAGTGTATATGTGTGGGTGCGCCTGTGTGTGCACAGCCATGAATGCCCTCACAAATGCATATGCCACAGTGCTAACGTGGAGATCAGAGGACAACTCGCAGGACTCCTTACACAAGAGCCATCCCACCAGCCCCAACTGACTTATCTACCACCTGCTTGAAGAGTGATACTTAACACTCATCTCAGAATGTCCTTCATTGCTCATATCCAGCCTAACACTGAGGACTGCCTATTTTACCTATAGCAACTCTCATACTGATACCTCTGTATGTTGCTTAAATCACACCTTACTCTTCCAGCTGGACTCTGTCTCCACTTTCTCCTCCACTATTTCACTCCTTACTGGTCTTAACTAATCAAAGCCTCTCCAACCCTTTGGTCTGTACTTCACAATTTGACTCTGTCCTGTCTCTCTACTTGTTCACCAGTTTTCTCTGTGTACATTTTAGCCACACCTGGAAATCTAAAATTCCCAGCTCTCTTTAAACACACACACACACACACAGTGGATAAATGACAGAGGCAAAACTAAGCCTGAACCTCTACTCTATACACATTCACCCATTCCTATGTTTCTATTGTGCCACCACTTATGGAGATGTAAACAAGAAATACATTATAGAAATGGGTTATATGAAGAAGAAAGAAGAGAAAAGAGGAAGTTAAAGGTCATCCTCACCTACAGAGAAAGTTCAGGGCCAGCCTGGAACGCTTTTTCTAACAAAATGACGACAACAAAACCAGCATCTAAGCAGCATCACCAGACATTGGTGGCTTGTTCCAACGAGCCGCCAACATTTCTGTAGATAAATCTATTTCTCCCATCTGGGGCAGAAGACAAGGAGACTATTATGGTCAATTTTATGTGCCAACTTTACTGAGCAATGTGGCACCAGATACTTGGTGAAACATTCTGAATGTTTCTGTTATGATGTTTTGGGATGAGGGTAACATTTTAATGAGTAGAATAAGTGAAGCAAATTGCTTCTTCCTAATGTGAGTGGGCCTCATCCCGCCAGTCATTGAAGTCCTAAATGAGCCAAAATGCTGATCCTCCCTCAAATAAGAAAATGTTTTGTACTTGACAAGTTTTTTTTTTCTTTGACATAGGATGTCATTTGCTTTCTGCCATCTGATGCAGTCTGAAACATAAAACTTTCTAGTTGTGAAGCTTGCCAGCCTTCAGGGTAAAACTACATTTATCAATTCTTATGGCTCTCAGGCCTTCCCACTGTACTGCGTCTTCAGCTTGCCAATTTACGCTGCACTTCTCAACTTCCATAATAATAATATGAGCTGATTCCTTACAATAAAATCTCAATAGGTGATGGTACATAAGTATGCAGATACCCCTGGAGTTGGAGTTACCGGAAGTTATAGGCCTTCTGCTTTGTGGGCTCAGACCCTAATTCAGGTCCTCGGCAAGAACCACAGGAGTTATTGGCTGCTGAGCCATGTCTCCAGCCCTTTTTGTTTTTGGATTTTTGAGACAAGGTTTCTCTGTGTAGCCCTGGCTGTCCTGCAACTTGTTCTGAGACCAGGCTAGCCTCAAACTCAGAGATTTACCTGCCTCTGCCTCCCAAGTGCTGGGATTAAAGGTGTGTGCCGCCACCCAGCCACATCTCCAGCTCTTATTTATTCGTTTTTTTACACCTTTCGTTGTTAAGAACAGCAACAGTAGCAAAAACAAAACAAAAACTAATAAGAGAAATCACTGCATAATTGTTATTTCACCCAATGATGACTTTATTATGTACTCATGTAGTCCCTCTGCACAGAGTTTATGTGCCTGTCTTGGGAACTTGAATTTATTATTGCTCTACAGTAATTTATATATGCCACTTAAGGGCAGGTACCATGAAATACTCACGTTTGTGTTCCCAGGATTCCATCAAAGGACTAGCAAAAAGTGTTGCTAATTAAATAGTTGGTAGCTGGGTGTGGCGGCCTAAGCTTGCAATCAAAGCACCTGGAGATAAACACAAATTCAAGGACAGCCTGGTTTACACTGAGAGACTCTCTCAAAAACAAAACAAGGTTGTTTTTAATTGTGTAAATAAGTGAATTGATTCAGTGACGTTATCTCATCCAAGAAGGGGTGTCAGAAGGAAAACATTTCACATAAAGCAGACCGCTTGAAAATTTGCTGTCACTTCATTGATCTCAGACAAGTCTCTTAACCTCTTGATTGCACAATACTTTTATCTGTAAAATCGAGAGTTTCTCTTTAGGATACTTGTGAAGAATAAGGTGAGGTATTGAGCACAACGTAAGCTACAGGTTACAAGTCAAGATTTCCACATTCTATATTAGACACTGGAATGAATTAATCAGACAGGATCAGAGTCCTAAAGGAATTCAATCAAATATGGGGAAGAGATAGTAAATAATATATAGTTTCACATATATATTCATAACAATACTATGTGAAAAGCACTCGGTAACAAAGATGGCAACTAATACTACCTAGAGAAATCACAGAAAGGTGACATCAGTGGAGTGACGGTGGAATTTGGGGAGTAGTTCTAGTCCTTGGGTTTAAAAAACTTCCGGAACCAAGATGCTGCGGGAGTAGAGAGAAGCTCGGTAGGGTTTTGTCGACGGACTGGATTAAGACATTTCCGGCCGCGTTTTCAGAGGCTCAGGAGTCGTGGGTGCTGGGGTGTATCTTCGGTTTGTGCAGAAGTCGCAGTAGTCAAGAATGAGCGGAACCCTGGGAAAGGTAAAGCGGATTCCACGCTGGCAGGATGCTGTGGAGGCGGAAGGGAAGGCAGAGCTGGAAAGTGGTTGCGAGCAGACATCCGGGCCTAAAACTCTGCGAACGGGCCTTTCCCAGCGGTCCCTGCGGCGCCTTCCTCTCAATGCTCCCCTCCGCCTAGGGCGGACTCTCGTCTCGCGCCACGCCCCCTCTATTTGTCACCTTGGCTGCCCAGCGCCTCGGAAAAGGGGAGCCCACATGGGGAATTAGGACGCCAAGATATAGTCCTCATAAATTGTCTGACCTTGGGCAGGTCATTTTATTTTCTATATTCAATCAACTTACGAATCTTGTTGAAGTGGTTGGGACGTGAATGAAGCTACTCGGTGATAAGAGGGATATGATGATTTATAAACTACACTTTTGCTTACAAAACCTTATTCTAGAACCTATCGTAGAACCTGGGAAAGCAACCATTTCGTTGTTCTTGGCTTCCAGAATCGTATTTAAGAGACTAGGGCAGAACCAGATGAACCTATGTAGCCCAAACTGCTCTTGAACTCACAATCCTGCATCAGCTTCCCCAGTGCTTGGATCACAGGCATGCACCGCTGTGCCTAGCTAAACTACCATGCTTAAATCTGGTCCTTTTCTTCCCTTAACAAATTTAACAGATCTCATTTGGGCTTTTTCAATTGTGTCGTGCTGCTTAGATTGTTGATATTCTCTTTTCATATTGGGATTTTATTTTAGGCATTAATTATAGGGACTTTATTTCTATAATGTATGTATAAAGCAATTCGGCCATTGCCATTTATGACATGGGACTACCCTTGGATGTCCTAAATTTGAGTTTTTCACCTCATTCTTTATGAAAGTTCTCTGGTTCTCTTTAGCCAATTTGTGATAAAAAGGTCTGCTTCAAAGATAATAGGAAAAAAAAAACAACTTCAACATTTCGTTCTATTCTTTGGTTCTGTTTCTCTTCCAAGGACTGCTGAAAGGCATGATCAGTGTTCAAGGAATGTAATTCCCAACTATCCCATACTCCGGAAGAGTCCTTGGAAACCTGGCATTAAGGCCATCATCCAACAAAGCCAGACATTGGGGGTAGTGCTTTTAATCCTAGAACTTGGGAGGTGGAGATAGGAGAGTTAGGAGTTCAAGGACAGCCTTAGTTACAGGTTGAGGCTAATCTAAGCTACTTGAAACACTATTTAAAAAAATAAAAGAAAAAGAAAAACAAACCTAAAAATTACAGTAGAGGATTTTGTAAGTAGGAATGAGTGCTTTGTAGAGAATGAAGGATGGTGCTAAGAAGAATGTTAATATTTTGTAGTCGTTTTATTTGCTCCACATATTACTAAGCAATCCTATCAGACACAGAATAGATGTAGAAATTCAAATGTCAGTGGTCATAAAATTTGTGTTCCTACTGACCTACATGAAGATAGATTTTGAGAGTCAATACAGTCATGTTTGAAGAGTGTAGACAAAGGAAGAACTAGAAACAAAAGCATTTTTAAAAAGATTTATTTATTTTTAGGTATGAGTGCTCTATCTGCATGTATACCTGCATGCCAGAAGAGGGCATCATCACATTATAGATGGTTATGAGCCACCATGTGGTTGCTGGGAATTGAACTCAGGACCTCTGGAAAAGCAACCAGTGCTCTTAACCACAGAGTCATCTCTCCAGCCCCCACAAAGCAAGTTTTGAGAGAACTTAGAAAACTTGAAAGCATTGATCATTGTATTCAAATACTTGAGGTGCTAGTATGAAAAATAAGAACTGTGTTTATTTTGTGTTATACCAGAGTGAGGGCTAGGTTCAAACAATGGAAGACACAGGGAGGTTGGTTTGGGTTTTCTAGGTGTGAGACCTTATGAGACCTAGGTAGTTAGGTAGTGTCTGCAAATGTTTTGATTCTGAACCAGGAAGGTATTTAAGTAGCAGATGCATTGTCATGGATGGGGTACTGTTAGCCGGTGTATGCTGGCTATAGATGAGTACTGTGAGCTGGGTGTGTGCTGGCTATAGATGAGTACTGTGAGCTGGGTGTGTGCTGGCTATAGATGAGTACTGTGAGCTGGGTGTGTGCTGGCTATAGATG